TCTTCACCACTTCATGTAATTAAACATGATGTTAGTAAAATGATAAACGTAACACCCTAACATCACATGCAATATTCTCTAGAGAAATTATTTGTTCTGGGAAATTCATTGGCTTAACTTGCAACTTGCTGATGCTTTACCACAGATTAATATTTTCACTGAAAGTTATGTCATATTTTTTGAAGAAATATATGCATAGACCTTCAGTACAATGTTTCATCTTGTTTGAGCCGCTCAGCGTGTCATATACAAAATAATACTGTACATACTGTACATATTACAAACAGCAGTATCCTCTGGGTTACATCTTCATGAAGATCATTATGTTTATTAGTTAGTTGTTTACCTAACGTCTTACGAAGGAAAGTCACATAAACCTTGAATACTGCACACGCATGTCTTTTCCAGTCTGGTTGAGGTGCTCGATGGTAAGACTCAAAATATGTGATACTTTCTGATCACGGGCTTTAAATAATAACAGTGATTAAAATAATAATTCCAGAAAAACTTTGTGAGCCATATTGAAACAGAAAGTTTTTGATATTTCCTTAGATACGCATGGCTGTGAATCGAGTGCATGGGTTAAGTCCATTTCGGCATGAAACGTGGGCGTCCTCAGCAATATATCTGTGATTGCATGTCTGAGGATCAGTTTTCTGTAATCCATTTAAAGGCCGAGGTTAATTTTCACCTGACAAAGGAAAGGTATAGTGTAAGGACCCTGGACAGACATTTCCCAGTGCTCCCTCTGATTTATTCTTTCAAGGTGTTGCGGTCATGACTGCAAGCTTTTGTCGACCTGAGTTCTCAGAATGACTGTAATCCACTGAACTGACATGCCTGGTCGATTCACTTATTTCTTTATTCTCTTTGTTTGTTTATTGCGCATTTAAATTGCTAATGTTCTTGGGCCATCGACTCTGGCCATCAGTGCAAATGCACGTTTTAAGTGCAAAGCAAGCTTTAACTGTGCGACTCTATCTCGGACAAGCTTTGAGGTTCCCTCTTCATTTGAGGAACAATATTACTCAAGGACTGAATTTAGACCTTCTCACTAACATGAAACAATGACCAGCTGCAAGTCTGCATTCAGAAACCTCTAACTTACAATAGTAAGTATTTATTTGCATATTACACTGTGATATCAGTATAACAGATTTTTTTTAAAAATGTCAAGTCAATATGTAATAAAAAAGTGAAAATAAATCTATTTTTATACAACACACTAAATATAACGGTTACGTTGTTATACATGTACTCATAGTTAAAAATAAATGATGATTAGCTGTAACAAAAACTAAAAAGACATAAAACACAAATGACACTTGTATTTAGTTTAAAGGCTGCTAATGGGAGAAGTTAGCGTCTTCTATTCCAGAGACCAAAGTTCGGCAGTACCAATACTAACTAATGTTATATATATAGTATGTTTTCTATACTGCACTATAGTTTATTTCTGGGTTTATCTCGTGCAGGTGTAAGCTGCTTAACTAGCAGTGTAGACTTCCTGAACAGACTTTCTGTAAGGCAGATTTTATGTCACCCGTGCAGCTTAGAATTTATTAAGTTTATATATATATATATATATATATATATAATTGCCAGCCAATTTTGAATCACTATCTTTTATAAAGAAAAAAATGCAATTTCTCAGTTTGGAGATAACTTGAAACATGAGGCCCAAAGGCATTTCTTTGCTGGTCCCACCTGGCTCAGATTCTGCGTTTGCACAGACACGTGTCATAACATGCGGTATTAAGTTTGCGGGACAAGTAGCAAGGGTATCAGAACAAGCATTACGTGCTTAATGAGCCGTTTGTGAAAGCCATTCTCTGTGTAGTGCTGAGACATAGCAGAGAACATCAAGAGGCCCAAAATCACATTCCTGATTTACTGCACAGTGCAAGATACTACAGAAAAACATCTTACAGCCCCCAAATTAACAAAAATCAGTAACAAGCATTAGTTATGATGTAATCTACAATTTTTTTTCTACAGCTATAATTCTTTTAATATATCAAGGGTCATACGAATGACATAAGGACACACAGTCTAGGCCCAATTTAGTTTTTTTTTTATTTTTGGACAATTTAAGTCATGTATGAATCCTACCGAAGCCTAAATCTTGTTAAATATTAATTGTTTTCAACATCCAGAATCAAAATATAGTTCGCATACTTGACCAATTTAAAAAAAAAAAAGTGTTGGCAATAATTAAGGCAGAATCAGCTGAAACATAAGCAGCCTTCTCCAATAAAAATGATGACAGAGTTATTAAACAGGCTTCCTCTACACCTCAGCAGCGTCTTCCTTTTCTAAACAATATTCCTTTAATGCTGAAATGTGTTTTTTCCATTTAGCGTACGGACCAATAACACCGTTGGGAGATGATGCAGAATTAACTATTGGCACAAGGCGAGTTGTTCTGGAAAATAAATGCCTGACACCTAAGTTCTGATTTCGAAGCTATTTTACACGCCCTTAAAAACACTTGCTTGCGCCATGGAAACAGGCTAAAAACGGTTTGCAGTTCCCTTTTGGCTCTGGCTGCTGTGAGCTGAAAAAAAAATAATCAACTGCTTCTCATTAAGGGTATTAAACGCATTATCATTAAGGCAGTTTTCATAGCGGAATTACGAGGCGGGAAAAGTCTCGGAACTCGTTGAGAGCAGTTCTGAGACAGGTCATATTGAATACTGCCTCATTTTTCAAAAACAACGAAGGAAACAAAGCGAAATCATTTTTTGCGGTATTTTGGCATGCACTCTAATTAACGGGCAATGAGAATTTCATTCCTGCCAGAAAATGGCACCCCTATAAAGAGCGGCCGCAAACTCCTCTCCGCGCAGAATGATGTTCGGACTTCGGCGCAACTTTGCTCTGGAGTTATTAACCTCAGTGTTGGAAACATTTCAAATAAGAAGCAATAAATATGACTTGATGAAAGAAAATGCAGATGTTGTCATTATTACGTGAACATCTTATTTGATGAATATAACGTGGATATGAGATGCCACATGACTCAAACGCCTTATTGACTTGAGATGCTCATTGCTTCATCTCAAATAACAGAGGCGTTTCTGAGTGAGTCTTTATCCCTTTAAGCTGTTAACAATTCTGGATATTATTATTATTCATTTTAAAAAAGCTAACATCGAATTTCAACAGACCTTTTGCCCTAACAAATCGTCGAGAATATTAAAATCCTCCGGTGTGTCTGTTTTTTGTTAGTTAGTTAAAGTGAACCATAAGTTTAAACCCGATAAATGTATTTTAAAGAAAGAAAAAAAACGACTACAGTCAATGCTAGATTAAATTGCGTTTGTTTTTAAATATTGGTGGTAATTATGGCAATTTATTAAATGACATGAATATATTACAGTCCCCGTCGCATTCTTTAACCGACTTTATTATTTATATATTCTCATTTTCTGATTCATTCTGTACCTATTAAAAGTACGGGTTTAAAAGCTTTTTAAACCAACTGTGAGCAGATATATTAATATTTATTTTTACCTTTTCATGAAGACCTAGTGGCCTACTTTCTACCAATCAACATGACACGAAAAAGTGAGCACTTAATAACGGAGTTATTACACGGCACTTATTCAATGTTATTCCAATTCCAATGAGGAAAGTATCACTGTTAATGATGGAGTTAACATATAATGATTAGAGTAACCATCCATAACTTTCCCGTAATTGCTTGTATTATTCCTGACTTTATAATTTGTTTTAAATGATGCGGATCAAAATAAAATCAAAACATTTATTATAACCCACTGTTTAAAACAGTAGTTCGATGTTTCTCGTGATAGTTTTAGTTAAACGCGTTTAACAGAGGCTAGTAAAAGACGTGCTCATCTAATTAACGGTTCAGTACAGTTTAGACAAAATTAACATTAAATTGGTGTCCATCAAAAGATTACTATATCACCCTAATTGTCACTGGATAAATTTACCTTGCTCCGGTTACAAAACCAGGGCTAATGCTACATTGACAGTGTCTATTTACAGTCACCTGTCGGTTTCAAATGAAAACGGCAAAAGAAGACTATCTGTGGAGATCAAAGTGTAAATGTATGGAAGTTGACATTATCTGTACGTAAAGGAATGCTGAGACGCAATTTCAGAACCGGTCGTGCGGCAATAAATCCTATACAGCAAAACACCCGCTGTAAAACAGGACACTTGTAATAATAATTCGTATATCATTAATGCAATCCAATTGTTTCTATTCTTTTCCCAAATCTCGTAAACTACACCTTTTCATATTATTTTTTTTTTAAATAACCAATCCTAGCATTGTATAACCTAATACCGAAAACACCTCGTGAGGGAATAAAAACGCCATATTTCATTCTAACTATAAAGTAGTTTGACTTAAAAACCGAAATAAATGTGTTATTTCTGTCGGTTCAGTTAAACAAGAGGCGACTTAGTCTACACATCAGGCAACTGCCCCAAACTGGAGACCGTTCTGTGACGGCTAGAATAAACGAAATTTTAGGTGTTGATATTTCCTTAACGATCTCCCACCGGTCGGATAATTGTGCACTCTGCTGACAAGCGTTTTTGTTGCTGCTTTGTGGCACAACAAAAACAGCAATATCAGACGAAGTAAACGTGAAAATTATATATTTAGGCAACGGTGACAAAAATTGATGGTTAAAATGTTGCTGCATGGTATAAGATGTAAAGTTTTATTTACTTTGTTTTTCACTATGGCATGTTCCAAACTTCTTGAAGGAATGCACGCTGCCCATTGTACGACGACCTTTGTCGGCGACTCGGGTGTCATTTACGACGGCAGAATTTATATATTTATATTTATCGCTGGGTAAAATAACGTCGATTCCGATTTTTTTTAACGAATGAAATCCCCATAGACAATATAGGCATGTAGTACGACAAATAATTGAAATAAAACATAAAAGCTCCAGTTTTATCGAAGCCTCACTGAAGATGCTTATAACATTAAGTTTTATTTGAATCCTGGATTGTGTGACACTTCAGAAACATAATTACAAATTGCTAGAAAATACCCACCTTGTACGGCAGTTTAAAAGGCTAGAAAGTACTTTACTTGACAATAGTGATGTCTCCGGGGATCATTAAATCAATTGTAAACTGTTACTGTAATTGTCGCTATAAATGAACTCTAGTGTATTTAAAACCAGTTTAAAATATGCATTTACTGCTGTATGCAAACGCGCATCTATTGTTAGAGCATGAAGAAAAAAAACACACGTCCCCTCACACGTCTCCCAGTTTCACTTGCTCGTTTTCAGTAAAGGTACAATGTCGCCTTTTAGAACGTAATGATCACCCAAACCTTATTATTCGGCCAACTTCAGTGTTTTGTATTCCTCTATATCCGCCGGACAATTCTTATTGGTAGGTGAAAATGTTACATCACAATGATTATGACGCGCCGTCTTCCTGTTTCCTTCAGCGGCGTCTTAAAGTGAATCTTGTTGGTGGGAGAGCGCCTCAGCCGCAGCTCTGCCCTGCTCGTCTCCAAGAGAAATACACTTTCAGTCCAGAAAGGAGAGCGGCGCAAAAGAGCCTCTCTCCTCTCTCACGCTCAGCGAGCGTCGCTCCCTCGCTAAGAGAAATCGCAATATTCATCACCAGGCGAGCAGCCCTCCGCGTCCTTTCTCTTTCATCAGCGAAGAAGCTCGATTTTCCTCTCATTTGTAAGTAACCTTGTCCTTTAGGTAGCTCCCTTATTTGCTTGGATCGGGCGCGCGGAGGAGAAAAAAACAAAAAAAAAAAAAGAAACTTGGAAAATGTACCGGTAGATGTCTGACCTGATCGACTGAGCTGTACGACACTGCAATATGTGTTATATCTTAGATGGTTTTAATAACATGTTATGATGACGTGTTTCGGTTTGTCTTTTTTCATCGTGAGAATAGTGCTAATTTGGGAACTTTAAAAAGTAAGTAGCGCGGTGCGATATTGCTGATTATTCGTCCCGTGACTTTAATCGAGCTGATTCCTGTTTAGTGGAAAATATGTTTATTTACATTTGTTCAGACTATTTTAAGTCGGTAAATTGTGGTGTAAATGCTTGGTCTTATGCGTTTATAATATTCTGTCGGCTTTACTAAGCAGGTTTTTCTTTTTCATCACTATTGGTATATTAAATTAATTTTGTCAATTTTGAACTGTTTAGAGGTGTCTCCGTTTATGTTGGTTTTGCAGTGAGGCGTCCGACGTTCTCGTCCCTCTAAGCGACAACCTTCCCTTATCCACGCGGATCATAATATTGCACCAAAAGTAATATCTCTTTAAAAAAAGTTATTTGCATTTTAGCGCTGAAAGCCGGCCAACACACGACCTTCTGGCAGTTGGTGATTTCTCTCTTTTCATGTCTGCGATACCATTTAATCATCATGAAAGAGTCAGTGTGGATAATAATAGAATACAAGAAACGCGTTTAAACTTGAATATCAGAAACAATTAAAGTATAACGGGACCGGTGACACAAAGCCCCGGTTAATGTATGTTTACTTTAAACTGCTCAGCTGTACAATCTGTGGCTTTACTCCAGAACAAAGTTGCTAAACATACATATGCATGAATGTATAAATTAACTGTTCCTATGTTTTTTTTCTTTGTCAGCACTTTTTGGACGAGTTCCTATCTTTGTTCCATACACACTGGTTTATGTTATTGAGTATCAGCTTCGTTTCCCACTTTTTTCCGGTAGTATGATAAAATGGGCATCATTTTGCATTCGGGTTTGTGATTCTGAAGAGACGGATCACATGTAGGACCTGGGATAGTGGGGAGCGGTTTCTCGTTTTATTGAATTTTTATTGAAGTCCGGATGAAATACTGCGCATGAGCAATATGAGACAGGTGCATTGTGTGAAAAGACAGGTGCGAGTTGCTTTATTTCCAGTAATAACGACTTTGCACAATATACACCTCTAGGCGCTAAACTATGTGTTTGTCTAACTGAGGTCTATTGTGAGCTGAATCGTTGTGTGTTTCAGCAGTTGAGGCCGGTTTACTGTGTTAGAATAAAGCGGTACACTGTTTTAAGGTTTTCGTTTTTTTCTTTTTATTCTGCTTCTGAGCTTCAGAAACGGAATGGAGTAAAATAATAAATACTTACTAATAAAACATAGAACATTTTGTTATATAAATTTCACGTTAAATATTAGTCCATAGGATTCGTCCAGCATTAAAATCAAGCAGCACAAAGTTTGCGTGGGGTCGGATTGCAGACTTCGCTTCCCTGAAGAAAGCACAGTCTCTCTGGGAGCGACATGGCGTTAATGAGTCGCTCGCCTCCCAGTTGGTGTCTGAAGGATGGACCTGCGCTTTCACCTGCGGTTTCATTAGATTAGTAGTTATGCTCCGCGGTGACCGCTACCAGCACGGCATTAATAATTACACTGGCAGTTTTGGCGAAGGCGCTTTCTCCCCGCCCCCTTCTATGGTTCCGATGATATGTCAGACTTTCTCTCACAGAAAACAAGTAATTTAACCTCTTTCTCTCCTCGACGATTGCTGCAGTTTAAATGAATAAGTCCGTCCATAATAACAGCTGTTTTCAGTTCTCCGTGCTTCGTTTAACAACACACGGACTATGTGTGTTTATGGTATAAGTTTATGTTCCTTAATTCTACAGCTAGGCCTATATCAGGAATTGTGGGGAAATAAAACAGCAGACTTAAGGATTTAAAAATATAATATTTCAGTTTAGTTCACCGTTTGACCTTTTCAGTTTAATCTGAGTTAAAACCAAAACATTGCATTGCTCCTCTTAGTTGAGACAATGCAAAGCAACTGACAGCTTCATCCTGTTGGAGAGCTGGGTGTTTTACTTCAGCATGGGTTTAGCAGTCTATCTTGTTTAAAGGTACAACAGCCGATCCCTCTTGGGACTGTATCCCCCAGCCTTAAAATTACACAGCTGTCTTTATCTGCTAACCTACTCGTTGCCTTTAATGTTATTTTTTAGCTCTAATAACTCATTTATTAAACTCTGCCTATTTCTTTGCATATATATGTGTGTGTTTGTGTGTGTGTATATGTATGTGTGTATGTATATATATATATCTTTTTATCCGTTATTCCAACTTTTTAAAAATCATCCTTGTTTATTCCAGCTTAACAGAAACACACTGCACTTTAATTGGTTGTGTTCTTCCCATAATGAATGGCTTTACTTAACTGGAACACTACAAGTCCCACATATAGGAGAGTGCTGTTCCTATCGACCGCTTTACAAAATGAACTTTGCTGTGAAGATTTCAAGTGGGTGGCAACTGTTTATCTGTTATCTGCTTTTTGGGGGAGTTTAATTTTTTGAAAAAAGACTTAGAAATGTAGAAATCTTGACAGATGTCTTTAACATTCTGAGGGTAATTCGTAAATTTTTAATCTTTTTTTTTTGTTTTTTTTTTTTGGTGGATCCTGCAGGAAATTTTCTGAAGGCCAGTTTAGCTGTGTAAGTAGCATAGATAGCTGTTACATCACTGCACAGTGTAGATTGTTCGTTATGATGCTGAGCAGTTACCCACCAACCAACAATGTACATAATTATTAGGGACCGTATAAAAGTTGTCCTGACATATGACTGACGCTTGTATGGAACATTTCTTATGATTAGGATTTGAAACCCACCAGTGTTTTGCCAGATTTCTAATCATAAAATAAACCTAGTTGATGTTGCAATTAGTGTCTAATACTGAGACCAGTTGGCTGAATATGATGTGTTTTGTTCGTTTTCCCTCTGAGTATGGCACACTTAGTCACATGCTCTTGTTGGAGAGATTATATACTGTATTCCGTGACTAACAGGTATCATTCTGGACATTTGAACAGCAGAATTTTACTTTCTGGTGCTGTACAGGCATTTATTTTGCTTGCTTCATCTTAAATCATTATTATTTCTCAAAAACTTTTATTTTAGGGAGCGTATTCATTGCTGTGATTGTAGTGTGCGGCAAATCCGAGTGGCGTTGGGTGCATTTTGTTTTATTCAGGATTGAGGTCAGGAAACTTGGAGAAATGTAAAGAAAACGATTCATTGTGCTCTCGCTCTGTTGGACAGGGTCCCAGGATTGTCGAGCTGTGCCCAGCTGACAGGCTTTTGAGGATGGAGCAATAGCAGCCCAGTGATGCCTGACCATGACAGCGTAGCCCTCTTAAGCAGACAAGCCAAGAGACGAAGAGTTGACATTGGCGTGAAAAGGACTGTAGGGACAGCGTCTGCGGATTTCACTCGAGCGAAAGCAGCCGTGTTCAGTGCCATGAATCCCCACAGCTCCGAGCAGGACGTCGAGTGTTCGGTGGTGCAGCACGCGGACGGAGAGAAGTCCAACGTGCTCCGCAAGCTGCTGAAGAGGGCAAACTCATACGAGGATGCCATGATGCCCTTCCCCGGTGCCACCATCATCTCCCAGCTCCTGAAGAACAACATGATGAAGAACGGCGGCAGCGAGTCCAGCTTCCAAGGAGGCGGGCTTTCCGGCACGGGCTCGGAGATCCACCAGGAGGACGCCTGCAGTAACTCTTCCCAGGAGTGCCTCTCGCCCTTCGGCCGGCCAGCCGCCAGCCAGCTGGACGTGGAGCGGCTCAGCGACGAGCACCTGAGGGCCAAGCGCGCCCGAGTGGAGAACATCATCCGCGGCATGAGCCACTCGCCTAGCGTGGCTGTGCGGCCTGGTGAGCGTGAGCGTGAGGGGGTGCCGCAGCCGCCCGGCAGTCCGCGCGAGAGCTACCGGGAGAACAAGCGCAAGCAGAAGCTGCCCCAGCAGCAGCAGAGCTTCCGGCAGCTGGTGTCGGCGCGCAAGGAGCAGAAGCACGAGGAGCGCCGCCAGCTGAAGCTGCAGCTGGAGGACATGCAGAAGCAGCTGCGGCAGCTGCAGGAGAAGTTCTACCAGATCTACGACAGCACCGACTCGGAGAACGACGAGGATGGGAACCTCTCGGAGGACAGCCTGCGCTCCGACAGCGCCGAGCGCCATGGGCAGGACATGACGGCTGACCGCTCCGACAACGAGATTTCTGACCTGGACCCCGGGCACTTTCTAGACCGCGCCCGGGCCCTACTGCAGGAGCAGGCCTTGTTAGGCGAGGGCGACAAGCAGAAGCGCGACGGGACGCGGGCGAAGGGCCAGGGGCCGCCCTCCATGCACGCCGAAGGGAAACAGCTGGCCGAAACCCTCAAACAGGAGCTAAACACGGCCATGTCCCAGGTGGTGGACACTGTCGTGAAGGTCTTCTCCAAGCCCACACGCCCAGTTCCTCAGGTCTTTCCACCCCTCCAGTTGCCTCAGGACCGCTTCGCGGTGAATGGAGAGAACCCCAACTTCCATACAGCCAATCAGAGGCTTCAGTGCTTCAGTGATGTCATCATTCCCAACCCCCTGGACTCCTTCGCCAGCCTCCAGGTCTCCAGCTCCAACGACCAGACGGAAGCCTTGCCTCTGGTGGTCCGGAAAAACTCCTCAGACCACCAGTCCTCCTCAGTGGGCCCTCATGGCACCCACCACCACCCATCCCTGCATCCATCCCCGCTGAGTGCTGCTAGCATGGGCTTCACCTCTCCATCTTTCCGGCACCCCTTTCCACTTCCTCTCATGGGTTACCCTTTCCAGAGCCCTTTAGGCACTCCGTCGACTGGCTACCCCGGCAAGGACAGGTCCTCTCCGGAGTCCCTGGACCTGTCCAGGGAAACCACCAGCCTGCGGACCAAGATGACTTCCGGTCACCTGCACCACCATCGTTCCCTCTCGCCGTCGCATCCAGCCAGTACCACTGAGGGTCTGTCCTTGTCGCTCATTAAATCTGAGTGCGGGGACCTTCAGGACATGTCTGACATCTCTCCATATTCAGGAAGTACAATATCCTTTTTCAAAAGCAATGGTGTGTGATCTCGGTCTTTCTCCTGCTGCTCCTAGTTCTGTTTGTGCCGCTTCTCCCCTTTTTCACAAATGTCTGCTCAGATACAGAAACAGGCATTGTTTTAGACACCTTTCTCAGCCTTCCCTACAGGTAGATTCAGCTTGGTCTGGAACATCTGATGCAATCTTGCAATTTTAATTGGCTACACCACTGGTTTCAATTACTCTTGATTGGTGTAGGAGGTCTGCGGATTGAGATGTCTGGAGGAGGCTTTAATATTCAGTCTGTCTATTAATAGTTCTGCTTAAATTCTTTGCACTCCTAAAAAACCAGAGGTGTAAAAATCAATTTAATCTTTTCCAGTTTTAACTTTGTAAGTTGTTTTTATGTTGCTGCGTTTGGCTTCTGAAATGGCACTGCTCATTTGCGCTCCTATTATCACAAACGAGCATCAAAGACTAATTTTGTGAACGCTCAGGAATTAATTACTATGTCTAAGCACAAGTGGTAGAATGGAAACGGGCAGCTGAGCTCAGTGCATTCGAAAGGGGGGGGGGGGCTCGCTAAAAAGTGGGCGTTTTGTTTTCTCCTGGTCCCGACACATCGATCCGAAGGGTACGGTGATGCAGCGGGTCGAGCGGCGCTGTTCCCAGGGCGCGTTTGCATTAAGTCGCCAGGAGAAGCTCCGTTTTCTCCGGCGCCGGTTGGCGCTGCCTGTGCAGAGGTACAAAGCGCCACTTAAATCGTGGATGTGGTTGAGGACCTGTTTTTAAAGAAAAGACCAGGGTAGAGCATGAAGACCATGTCTGCTCCCCCCACTCACGCTTCTACAATAGGCTGTAGGGTATAATAAAGAACCTTGTTCTGTCTGCTCTTTCTTATCACATTGTAAAAAAGAATAATCGCAGTTTCTATTCTTATTTGTTATAAAGATTTGTTGACAACCTGAGGCACCTATTTGCTGTTGCTAGGCAGCCAAATAATCCCCCCCCCATCTCCTTTGAATGCTGCGTTAACAGGTGTTTGCTGGTGGCTGTTTATCTTTCATTTGTACTTGTCTTTCTTGACCCTGAACTGAATGGTTTCCAGAATCACCATCCCAGCTCTCCCAGTGCAGTAAGCTGTGTATCAAGAGGCAGCTTTTAATAGCAACACCATGAAACATTTTTCACCTTCAGTCTTATTGCTAATTGTTATAATAATGAATAACGACAAATATCCAGTATATTTCACTATATAACTAGTTATATAATTAATTTATAATATGCATATTGTCTCCTTAACATTGATTTCTCCTGCTAATAGTATTTATACTGTAGCAAAGTGAAAAAAAAATTATGGTAAATAAAATAACATTTTATGATAGAGCCCCCCCCCCCCGTAAAGTAATCAGCATGTCATCCGAAGGTTTGGTCTCTTACTCATAGGACCCAGGTTGTACCGAAGTAGCCGCTGTTCTCATTGGTGCTCCGGCAAGTTTGCATGATGTCACAGTGGTGGACGTTAGATAAGCTGAATTAGTGTTTGTACGCTGATGAGAGCAGGGATGGTGACTGCAGACGTGAATCTTTTTGGGGCTTTTGTGATGCCAAAGACTCACTGCCTGTGAACCTGTTATGTTGCATTACAGCTGCCTCTTTAAATAGGAATAAAATGGTTTCATAATTATATAGGTTTGTGAATTTAGGCTAGTCGTTGACCAAAAGCAGGTCTCCCCATGTGAAAAAGAAAAACAGATTGCCTCTCTGGGTAATTATAAGAAGTGTGGTTTTCACAGTTGGCCGATATAACAGATTTCTAGTTCCCGTCGTTCAGGCTAATTGAAATTATTTATTAGTGGAATTATTGTTCTTAATCCCATGATGGTGTCTCTTTGCCCTGAGGAAGGCAGATCTGCACACCCAACAGAGCCCAAGTGCTTTTCTTAAATTGAACGCACTCAAAATTGCCACTTGTGCCAGGACACTTTGCCCCGGCCTGGACGCCGTACCTCTGCAGGCTTGCAAAGTAAAGCTGCGTAATCAAATAAGTTGTATTCAAATAGATTAAAGAAACAGACTGTTGATTGTCTTCACCTGGGGGAAGAATGTCCTTATTGTTTTTTTTTTTTTGTTTTTTTTTTTTTTAAATGCAGCCTCTTTGCATCTCACAAAAATAGGCTTTTTTCAGTTTCTCAGAGGATTTGCATTGGGGGGCCGGGCGCTGTAGCCCGCTGAGACGCAGGGGCAGGTGACGCACCTCGCCGGTTCCGTGTCTCGTAAAGCACCGGCACACAAAGGAATCTTCCTGACCCTCTCTGGAGAGCCGGGCCCGAACGGCCTGCTGGAGTGGCCTTTTGTCTGCTAACTGTGCAGGGGATTGGCCATTTCAAGTCATGCCTTTTGGGACCACCCCAACCCTCCTCCCCACCCCCTAGTTTTTGCTCGTTTTCTTCATCTGAAAAGCATTTCTAATTTTGCCACAGTCTGATTAAAAACTCAACTGTTTTTTTTTTTCTCCTCCATCCTGTTCCGGCCACATTTATCTCTTAAGAGTGTGTTTAAAAAAATCATTTAGTACCACCTATATATAGGTTTTGTTAAAAGTTACTTACCGTACTTGCTAGACTCTCCTGTTTAGGGTCCAGACTTCCTCTTATTAAGCAGTTCCTGACACTGGCTCGCTGATGTGTCCGGGCAGCTGTCTGTGGTGAATTTTTACTTGACCTCATCCAAGTCTTTGCCGTTGGGTTCCCATTAACGTGAAAATCAGCTGGAATTTGTAGTTCTCGCTCGATACTGTGTCTAAAGGCAGATTGGTAAGACTTACCTCACATCTGTGTGATGCTTCCTTATCAAAAGCTGACGTAACATTCCCCTTCCTACCCGGCGTGCTTTTATTTACGTGAGACTTTTCATGGCTGCTGTATGTCCACTGAAGCCTTTTTCATGACTCATTGTTCATGTATGTATCCTGGAAACCCGTCGTCTTTTCTTGGAAGATGAGGTGTGTTTACCAGGATTGAGAGTTTTGTGTTTAATGTCCACCTAATTATTACCTCCCTACGCTTGGTTGGCTGCTGCCTCAGACGACTTACATTTTTCAACATTTGTCTTCTATATAGATATACTGGTGTATCTGGAGTTTCATTATAATTTGTGGTCCTTTTCTTCCGGAGGTGGTGGTGTTTTACAGGAAATGTTGTGCAGGTAATGGATTAAAGCAAAAACAAACAAAAAAAAAAAGAACAGTTGAACCAAACATGAGAAAGGAGGGTGACGGTGAGCCTCTAAACAGATTTGCCTCTTAACTGAGATCACTGATATGAAATGTTTACAGATCTCGCCTGCAATTTCAAAAAATAGCATCTCCGTATAACAAATTTTTATTAAGAATCTCACTTGGACCCCTTATCCATCCTCATTTCCATGCTGAACCCTTACTCTGCTCTCTGTTGAGTAAATAATAAATACTTCATTTTTTCCCCATGATCTGAGGGAAATTAGTTTGGCTCCTTCAAAAGTCCTGCCTGGGCGGGAGGGGACAGCTTGCAGCCTCTGCTCCCTGTGCTGTTATTTCGCATATGCCTTATGACAGATGGTAGTATGGAGAGTAATGCCCCTTTATTCTTCCCTATCAGACTAATGGAGGTCACCTCTGGGCTCTCTCAAGTCCCTTCCTTTGGCACAAGGAGCTTGTCAATCATCTGTGCCGTCATTTAGCCCCGGGAAGGCAAAGAGGCTCTCGCCAGATCCCGACTCGCTGACCTACGTTTGGCACCAGCTGCCGTTTGTCCGCGACGTTGTGATTGTGTCCACCTCTAAAGCGAACAGCCGAAAGATATCACTGTCACACTTTATTCGACCATTTAAACATGGTTAATTAACCACTCGAAAATGTAAAATTTCATCTACTTTTTTAATTTTATCATGCAGTGTCCATCCAGACTTTGAGGAAGGAGATTATGTTATCGTATAGTCAAAAGACCACAACAAAATATGTGGTTATAGATGTCTGTTTTTGGCATTTTTGGCAGGAAATGTTTTGATGGATACTTTCGCTCCGCTCCTTCCAGGGGTGGGACGGCGCGAGAGCCGACCTTGCGGGGGTCACATTGATTTCCCTCCCTCATGCGTCTTCATTTCGGATAAATTATAAAGCCGTTAATTTGCCGAGGAAATGGCATGGCCGGTCTGTGGCACAGATGTGGCCAAAGCCGGCCCGGTTGCCAGCGTGGGGGATGTGCCAGCTAGCTAGGGGGATAATTGGAATGCTTAGATTGCTCCGGTTAGCCTTGCTTTCTCCTGGGACCTCTTCAGCAGCTCCTGTTTACAAATCTGGAGGGCAATGCTTTTCCCAGATAAATAGGGCCTTTATTACGGTAAGTAGGCATTTATTGATCTGCCGTCCCGCACGTATTGATCAGCCGTCGATTTTACGCCGTCGTGCATTTTATAATATTTTTTTTTTAACGGAAGAATGGAGTATTGTCTTTCTTGGCATGTCTGGTCACAATCGAAAGCTCCCCTTTAGCGTTGGAGTAACAGCTTTCTTTGTCAGTATTATGCAAATTTTTTTTTTTGTGAGGAGGGGGAGGGTGAGGCTTGTCTTAGTCTGCTTGTAGAATGTAGGCTTCCTAGCTTAGGTGATTTATTTTTTTATTTTTTTCTACTTTTCGGTTTCTGGTGGTTAGATCCATCCCCATGTCTTCCTTGACTCCGCGCTTTGCAAATTCAGGAAGGGCTCTCACCTAATCACTTGAAGAAGGCCAAGCTGATGTTCTTTTACACCAGATACCCCAGCTCCAACATGCTGAAGATGTTCTTCTCTGACGTGAAGGTAGGTCATGCTATCTCCCGCCTTGCTGTGCTCCTCTAAACTGTTACCAATTTTTTTTGTGGATCCGTCCTGATTAATCTCGGGCATGTGCTTGGTCATAATTCCCTAATAGAAAGAACCTTGACATCCCCCAGTTAAAATCATATCTAGCTATTTTTTCACTTAAATGTTGTTGTTGTTTTTTTTTTGAGGTCCACAGAAATGCAAATCTGTGCATCACACCAATGCACGCTGTGGTAATCAGCAGAAGCTAACGCTCGAAACTCTGTGAGCTGTGTGTGTGTGGCAGTGCATTGTGCCTCTGCGCATGGAGAGCGTCAAATGAGAGGAACCCAAATTAAGAACAGAAACAATGGCCCTGATTGTCTCTTATTTACAATTTAATTTGTTGTTGATGTGGTGTACAGTGTGCATATGAGGGGGCCAGATATTGTGACAGATTCAGGGCACATTATTCAGATGAGGCAGCAAGAGGTTGGCGCTCCCAGCAGCCCCCACACCCCCGTGCCCATGGAGGTCGCGTCCCTGCAGCCAGGGTCTCCCATCCCAGGGTTCAGGGGTCCACCTTCACAGAACCTCCCGGTAGCCCCCGCGTTAATCCTGCCACACAGTCATACAGAAGCTGTCAGACCCACCACTAGACACTATTATATTAAAACCCAATAGTTTTAACAATTACACCAATACAGCATTTTTTAAGTCACCGTTAAAATCAAACCACTTAGCTATTTGGGATTTTTAAACAGCTTTTTTATTATTATTATTATAAGCACATTTTCTTGAATCCTTAGTTTTTTGTCTTTAGCTTTTCTTCCCCCTCATAACCTTGTCCTTTCGTTTCCTTGGGAATCTTGTTCCTTTTTTTTTTGTTTGTTTTGTTTAGTAAATACGCGATTTGTCATTTTGCCACTTGCATGTTTAAATGTTTTGTAAACCATAAAGTACTGACGCACAAAAATGCCACAATGCGTCTTTTACTGTCTTGAGAAAAGCCAGGATGCGTATCCATGCGATGCTCCCAGCCAGGTGGCCAATCCAGGGCCGGCTTTCGGCTCACATGACCGGTTTCTAAAACAACGTCAAGCAGTTGGGGTGGCAACACCTCTACAGAACTGCAGCGGACTACTTTGCTCGTTTGATCGACTAGTTGGCAAGTGTGGGAACCAAGCATAAACAACTAACTAATTGTTGGATAATGAGCCTGGGAATGACTGGTTTAAGATGTATATTTGGGGGTCTGAACGGACGATAATACACGTGGGAAACCCCACTAATTGGGAAGACTGCAATCCTATCCCTTTGGCTAGACTGCCGTCTCTGCGCAAGTGACTGAGAACGTTAGCTTATCGATGACTTGCCGGACAATAATCTCTGTAGTCGATCAGGGAAAGGGTGCCTTGAAGCTACTTTGTGACCAGTCTGTGTTTGGGGGTAGCTTTGTTAACGTACTTTATGGTGCAGGTGTTTAAATGGGGTTACAAGAACGGCAGTTTTTTATTTCAAGATCTACGCAGCTTGATACTGACATTTGACGGAGATCTGCTCAATTGTGCTATTCCAGTTGTTTCACGTTGGTCCCGGTGCTGCTAGTGCACTGTGGAGTTTGGGTCAGTCAGGTTTTCATCCTCCCCCCTGGTGATAGCAGACCCTAGCGAAGTGTGCCGTTTGGATCCCTGTTCCGGCGACGGGGTCGTGTTTCCCAGTGCCGATTGTGTGGAGTCAGCCGGTTGTCAGGTAGGGATTAGCATCTGAGCTCTTCCTCAGAACTACGACAGGAAGCCATTTGGGCGTCTTCATAAAGGTGAGGGGTTTTTTTTTCTCCAGTGCAGGCAGATGCACAGCGGCCTCTGTCTAATTTCCTGATGTGTCCCAGCGTAGCAGATGGCTGCGATGAGACTTGCGTTGATGCTACATTTGTTCAGCATATGTCTGGTGCGCAAAGTGACTTACTGGCTTACCGGCCCGCTAATTTATGCAGGTTAGCCTTGTGCTGCGACTCCCTGGCTCAAGGCTGTGGAAGGAACATTAGTCAAGAAGGATGCATCTATTGCCTTTACTGTCATTTATCCTGGGCTGGACCATGGTGGGGGGGGGGGGGGGGGGGCGGAGCCTGCAGTTTATCCCAGGCAGCATAGACCACAAGGCCGAGGCAGATATACACCGCAGGCAAACTAGAGTTGCCAGTTAACCAAACTGCATGTGTTTGAGCTGCGGGAGGAAACTGAAGGAACCTGGTGGAAACCTGGGAGATGCAGGGAGGACATGCAAACTCTACAAACACAGAGCTGTGGCAGCTCTGGAGGTGTGAGGCAACAGGGCTACTCTGTACGAGAGGAGCTGGGATCTCCTCGTGGGGACATGAGGTAAAAGGGGTGGTTTGGAGTTTGCCTGTCAACACATTGCAGCGTTACATAGAGCAGGCCGAGAAAAGCATCCCCCCCCCCCCCCCCCCCCC